TACCTTTGAATCGACAGAGTAGTCGGAGATTCTCGGTCTGGGAACCAGACTAACTCTGGGCGCATTCCACCAAATCGTTGTAGTTCTACACGCGAGCTCATTAATATTTTGTGATCCCACGAGATTTTTACAATAAGACAGGCCATAATCAGGAGGCATCATAGAAATATTTCTATAAATCCCGAACTTGGGACCGAAAGTTGCCAGTTTGGGGCATTGCTTTCACAAAAAGCCCCAAACTTTGGACCTATTTTGGATATAGGTGGGAGGCTACATTCTGAAATGAGCGCTTAGTTTTACTGCTATTTTGGGGGTATCTTCGTTCAAAGGCGAATAAAAAATTGTTTTTCGCAGCAAACCTCAATAAAATTGAAACGAAAAGTGATCTTCTGGCCATAATCTTGAATTTCTAGTGAAAAAACGGAGGCCAACCTCTTCACGAGATGTCAACAGGCGGCGCTATTTTGGTCCGATTTTGCACTGTTTTCTATGGGCGCGCATTTGGTGTAGTGCTGCCTCAGCGTCAAACGCGCCATTGTTCCCATTATAAACGCGCGCCTATGTGGTGGGAAAAAGAACACGCCCTCTTTTGTTCCGCTCGGAGAGCCCTCTTCGCTTATAAATTCATAATAAAATTCTTTCATTTATAAAGTTCCTTGTACATGCACATGCATACTGTACGTACATGTACTGTACATAGGTACCATTGAACTGGGTTATAGCTATACTACCGAAAGAAATGGTATCCAGCATGGCCGCCGGAACCGGGGGAGGAGCGGGGGGCACGGGTCCCCTCACTTTTTAAAAGTGGGGAGACTTATGTATCAATTTGTTGCTGGTTCCTTACCATCTTCATTTAATGCGCTTTTCACCAGGAATTATAATGTTAATTCTCATTATACTTGCCAAAGTGCAAATTTTCATCTGCCATTTATGCGTACATCTTTGAAAAAAAATCAAATACGAAAGGCCAAGATTATGAAACTCGAAATCATAAGTTTTCAGGGCTTTTGTTTTCGAAGGTCATGATGCTTTTCCCCTTCAACTTTTTTGGTTTTTTTTGGGGGGGGGTAGGTTTGTTGGCAGGGTCGGCGGGGAAAAAAAAGCTTTTGTTTCGTGATCGAGAGCCATAAATATAGGGTCGGTCGGAAATGAGAACCATAGAATATAAAAAGGGTGCCCTAATGTACAGTACATCTAGGGACTTAGGTACATTGGATGGCTCTCTTTGAAATCTGTCTTTCAACTGTCGCCAGTGTAGCCCTACTTGTATGGAAGCTTAGTGCAGATTGTCGGGAACTTTGAACCCAATTTTTTCCCCGAAATTAAAGCAGCCAGACAATTTTACTTACACCAGTCGACTACTTGGAGTTTATTATCTGACTGAGCCATGACAAAAATTACCGCATTTTTTCTTACAAAAGAAAGCATCTTTTTAAGCCCAACCTTTAATGTATGCCGATGATGTTCGTGGCCATTTTGAATAAATACGCACCATACAATTTTCACCATAAACTTACAGAAAGTGTATTTATCCCAATATGTCATATTAATTTAATATTAATATTAATATTAAGCCTGAAATGAACGCCAACAGGTGCGACGCATTAGCAGAATCAGAAGGGTTGTGCTATTGTATAATGCAACACAAATGAAACGAGTTTTATTGTACAGTACGCAGGCCTACTTGTAAATTGGCTGTACTATAATTGGGACTGATGCTATAGTCGGGGCGTGACAAATCCAAAAGATTGGTGGTCTATGCTACAATCTCAATGCGGCAAGATCGTACCCATGGGAATGAGGTTGTATCTTTGGTGCTGCGCTGCACCAACGGCAGATCACGCGTGCAAGCTGCATGCTATGAGTAGGGGTCGCACTAGTCCTAGTGGTACTAGTCCGGCCGTGCACGTGCCTAGACGTGTGGTAAGAAAGCGAACAGGATGGACGGAGAAGTGATAAGCTGGTGTTCTAAGCTAACCGAGTCGGTTAATGCTGCAATGGATCCCATAGTAGGTCAAGAGAGTCGCATGCAGGCTTATCAGGTTTGTGCATCCCTTCCGAGCGGGGCGATGTTGAGTCTCCCACATAAATACTCATACTGCTTTTCATTGACTTCCCCACATCACCGGCCCCGTCTCCGCTTCGCCCCATTTCCACTTTGCCGTCCGTGCTTGAGTGTGACTGTTACAAGCCGCTTCAAAAAATGGTCGAGAGCGGATTTCCAGAAACGACATGTAGGCCTAGTTTAGAAGTTATTATAGAAAATTCTTCGACATTACTGATGTCATTAGGCTAAATTTATGAATTATGTTGACTGCGTTGTCCATATCATAATACATATGGTTGGATGAGCATTGGAGTTATTTCTCATCCTCTTCAAGTTTTTTTCAAACCACAATTCTGTTCACATCTTTCTGGTATGGTGTTCCATATGTGCCGTCCGGTCGGATTTTTCAGCTGGTGTCACATTTTCAGTTTAGCATCGCATTTCAACCGGCGTCGCAATGACGGTTTGGTGTTACATTATTCAACCGGTGTCACATTTTTCAACCTGTGTCGCATTTTTGGTTTGGCGTCACATTTTTCAACTTGCGATGGCTGTTGAAAAATGCGACACTGACACCAGTTGAAAAATGCAATGCCCAACCAAAAATGCGATGCCGGTTGAAAAATGTGACGCCAAACCAAAAATGCAACGCCCACTGAAAAATCTGACTGGATGGCAAATATAGAACACCATATTCTGGTAATTGTCGACACATCCAGACAGCTGTGCTTGGGCGATCGGGTAAAGCTCAGCGTGCAGGAAATTTTGTGGAAACATGTTTGTTTCAAGTACATGTGCAAGCAAAACAAGCTAAAGCTGTTTCGAATTTTGAGTTGTTAAATGGGAAAAATAAGATATACAAAATCATGTTTTTGTTTAATGACGTCATAGAGTAATTTTTGTATCTGGGTCTTTGTTTGCTGTCACTTTGATAACGATCAAACATTGGGAAGTTACCAAAATGGTCACTTGAAACATGAACAAAGTCAATGGGCGGAAATAAATCAATTATAAATTAAATGATGACATCATCATGACGTCATTTTTTTTGAATAATATTTGTATCAGGGTCTTTGTTTGCTACCAATTTGATAGTGATCAAACATCTTTGAAGTTACCATAATGGTACACTTAGCTTGAAAACATGTACAAGGCCAATGGGCCAAAAACATGCAGCATTACTGAGCGTGTGTCAAATGTGTGATAGACCCCATCCTAATGAAAGCTGAGCCATGATTGGTCATTGGAATGGAAGCAAATTGGACCATTCACAGTGTGGCTTTCATCTGTGGGTGACAGTAAAACAAAAGAAACAGATAGGAGCTATGTTGTGATTGGTCAAGTTATCACACAGCTGACAGTTGAGAGTACATGCTCAGTGATGCTGCTGATTTCCTGCAGAGATGGGCAACACGCTCAAGAATTTCACTATTTGAATGAGGATATAAGGTGAATAAACAGGTCTACCCATCTGACATCTAACTTTGCCAAGAATGCATATGAAATCTGGTTGCACAAATACATGTAGCTGTGATGGAAGGGTAAGTTGGCACAATCAAAACAGTTGAAATTTGTTGATGAGAGTCTTTACATGGCTATCTGAAGGTTTGTGTAAACTGTACAGTTCCGCAAGTATACTTTTGAGGTAAATGATACACTGGCCTAAAGTCTCAGAAAGGGTCACACTATCAGTGTCAATGAGCATCAATAAAGCCTCAGCAAGTTATTCAGGTACAGTTTTATGCAAAAATCGAGTACATGCATTTAAAATGTTAATTAGGCACCTAACTATCATATTCATTGGATCACTTTTTCTAAAACTAAAAGGATAGTTGAGTGTGGAATTTGAGTGACAAAGCTTTTCCTGCTTGATTATGCTGCCCGACTGGCAGCCATCATGTTTTCCTCAATTTTAACTAGCCGTACATATACTGAAAACATTTCTTTTTCCTGTGAGAATCTGAAAGCAAAGTTGCTGTTTCTGTTACACAGTGGCATACATGTATGTTAAAATATGAGGAAAACCACTTTTAAATCTTTATCGTCTGTGACCGTATGGTTGTCTGGTCTGTAATTTCGCCACTATGTTAGAGATTTTTCGCTTTGTATTACCTGGTCAGGGTAATTAGTTTTACTTAATTGCAAACAAAACACACATTGCTGGGATATTACTGGTCCCACTTGTATGGCTAAGCTGCAGGCAGTAATTAGGCATTTTTTGAATGTTTACTGTGTCTGACCGGGCGACAGTGCTCATCGAGTTCTAACTCCTGTGTCCTTCCTCTATGGTTAAACTCTGAAGTGGGCTATTTAGATGAAGTAAAATTAAATTATGATTATAAATCCTTTGCATCAAATGCACTTACTGAATCCAAAAAGCTGATTAAATTGAAAAAAACAAGTTGACAGATATAAATTGAACATTAAATCTTGCCAAGGTACATGTAGATTTTGTGTAACACATGTGCATTCATACTTCTGTATTATTACTAGGGACAGGAAGGCTCACTGGGGAGGGTTTGCTGTTTAAAATGTGCAAAAACTGCAAACATTTCCAATCAGTAAAAAAAATTTAAAATTGAAACATTTTTGCCTTTTTACCCCCAAAATTAAATATGTTGTTTAAATCAGTGATTTTTTCTAAAAAATAATTTGATTTAAATCACGATTTAAATCAGGTATTTTTTTTCTTAAAAACTCATTTGATTTAAATCGTGATTTAAATCAGTGATTTAGATTAAGGTGATTTAAATTGGACAACCCTGTGAAATGTCCCGTGGACATGGGTAAGTCCACAGAATGGCTTCCCCTCTGCGTTGTGCTGACATGTTTTGTTCACAAGTGCACACTAGGTACATGTCTGTTAGGGTAGCATTTGCTACATTTGAAACTTGCAACCATACTCGTCTACTCACGAGTAGTTCCTATGTGAGTACTCAAGTTGACAAAGTCACTGCTCACCCAGTAGTATTTGATGTACCGGTAGTTATGTGCTGTATGTAAATCATGATCATCATTCATGCACTGGGTAGTTATGAAACTTTGATCACAATCATGACATTTTAAGCACAGGTCTGAAAAAATTCAATCATTTGATACTGTTCTCAACACCCGTAAACTTCTGGTATTGTTGTTTTTTTATTTGCAGCTTTGTGAAGAGTTTAAAACATCTGCTCCATATTCTCTCTGCATTGCTTGTGGTCAGCTGCTTGCCTCTGTCAGTAACTCAACAGTTGTTCGTCACTTTGGTCTTCAGCTTCTGGAAAATTGTGTCAAGTAAGTTTCACAAATTAAGCTTGATAGTGTTGTACACACAGTCAGTTCTCAGAAACAAGCAGTTGGTCAGCCGTTGAGAAATTCTCCATAAGTTGCCAGTTGCTTTCTAAAGTTGCTGACACTGTGCTTTCATGTTAATTCGCTTCTAGAGTGTACATGTACAGCTACATGTATCTTGTGCTTGTATGCTACTCAAAAAGTTAAGGACTACTTTGTTGTGTGTATTTTGTGTATACTTTTTTGATATTAGATATATGTTATTGCCGAAAATGCGCATTTGATGTTTTGAAACATTGTTTAAATTTCTTATCCCAATGACAGTACCATCAAGACAAACAAAAAATGAAAGAACTAGACCCCACTCATCGCTTGGAAAAAAATATAAGTTAAGAAAAAAGTGCCCTTACCTTTTTTTGAGTATTGTACATAACCCACATCTACTACGATTTACCCCAATGTCCTTATCTAAACCCAAACTGACAGAATTGAAATAGGGCACTTCTCTGTAGACCGAACAGTGGAGCAAAAGAAAAAAATGCTTTTATTGGTAAATTTTTGGTCGGCGGATCTGAGAATTCTCAAAAGAAAAACACTATTTTTCCAATATGCAAGGATCCGAGCACCAAACAAAAAATACTCTTGCCGTACATGTACAGTCACATGTACATATCCGTGCACATACTGTACATGTACAGTACACGTACGGAACATGTACACGAATGCATGCAGTGCCGCGGCCAAAATCCGCTGGACTTTCTCGATTTCTGCGAGCATTGGCGTGTTGCCAGGATCAGCTCAGTTTGCTGATAAGTTGGGAAGCAGCCACATGGTCGTTCTGAAAAATACTTTTCTTTGATAAACAAGATTTTCTGTGATGAAATTTTCATTTTTCAAAGCATTTACATGTACCTTGGAGAAGATACTGTTCTTTAAGGTTTACTTTTGGCATTGCCAGTACGGTTTTTCTAATTGTAGGTTGAGTTTAAAAAGCAACAATTGGACTATGAGAATGCCATCATTGAACCCTGATTATGCAAAGCATGTGCTTTGTGAAGGAAATCACCAGTGTGCTAGTGCCTATTTTAGTTATTTTATTTGCCAATGTTCTACAATATACATCCGCAGCTGCCCGTTTGCAGTCTGGCCACACAGACTTTAATTTCACGGGTGAGTGAACAATGTCGAGAGGGCGTGAGTTACTGTCGAGGTACTGTTGGAAATTCATTCTTCTTGCAAGCGACCTTCGTGCGAGAACGAGTCAAGTGGGAGTGAGGTGGGGGTGTTCTAGGGCTGCCAACATGCACATACTCGCCTGTGCTCAAATGAGTACTTACTCGTGGATGTTGCTATATGCATGTACTGTACATGCAGATTATAGCGTACACGTTATTTCTATTTACCCACAGCTCTGGAGTAACAATTCCTTGACCGTTTGTGTGTAGCTCTGCCATGAATAATTCGTCACTCCCAAGTAAATGGCTTAGATTTGGACAAGCAAATGAGAAAAATTGCACTACGGAGGCGGTTAGGACCAGCAACCCTTGGGGATTAGGGTTAACCACCGGGTGCTTTTAAAAATGCAGTGCACACGATTTTCAAGATTTTCAGTTTTCAAAATTCTTCAAAAATTCATCATTTCCTTTAATGGATGTTTACACCCACACGAATGACTCTTTGGTGGCTACTCGAAGCTGACAGGTAACCTTTATTGGCTCCTGAATATTTCAGCCAGAGAGCCCAGAATTGTGAGGTGTTGCGTAATTTCCTTTGTCCCCAGTGAATGCGAGTGGCGTCTTTTCAAATGCGGCTGGATTAGCATGCAGCAGTGCTGTGTTGCTCATCAATGGGGCCCTGGAGCACTTTTGTCCGTGGTGCTAATCCGTGGGTGCGCTGTGCCCAAAACAGTGGTATACTGTTTAAAAACAGTGATGGATTACCTTTGAAAAATGCAAGCCAAAAAATGATGGCAATTCCCAGCAGCAGTTCTTTTTTTCTGAGTATGGTTTTTTGTTACACAGACCAGCTCTTTTGTCCCATTTCGGGCACCCGGCTCTGCGAATAAAACGGGGTTCCACGGCAGCAAGTGGTTAAACAATTTGAAAGGGATAGAAATTTTCAACAGTGCAAGAAGTGTTGTTCATCTCTTAAATCTTGCTAAATCATGGCTGGAGATTCTCCTAGATATGAGAAGCTATTATATTGATTATAATGTACAATTGTGTGCGTTATTGCAACTGATTTTGTATATGGTTTGTTCATCAACAATCTGCCGGTCGGTACGACCAAATATTTTGATAGTCGAACAAATTGAAAGTCAAATATTCAAATAGTGAATTATTCTAATTGACTTGGCCCTAATCTGTTTCGGATCTGATCCAGTGTTGGGTTTACACTTGCAAATTGATCATGCACACGGGATCTGAACTGGATCTGATCTTTTCGTAGAGGAGGATCAATAATGGGATCAGGATCTGATCCTGCATTGTGTTTACACAAGTTTTTGATCCAGATATTATCCTTCTTGTGGGATCTGATATTCCTAAGGGGAAGTGCTAACGTTTACAGTGACGAAACCATTCTGTGATTCGGTGATTATACATGTAGTTGGCCCTCATTTTTTTTTTAATCAAGTAATTAGTAAAAACACCATCTAAAAAGACGATGGGCACTCTACTTAGGTTAATGTTGAGCAGAAATATTCCAGAAATCTTGGGCAGAGCAATTTATTCATGTCCGCCCCTCACTTGAGGGACATATGAGAGATTGGGATCACACTCTAATAACATATATATATTATATGTATACATCACACACAAAATCAGATGTTTGTGATACCTTGTACTTGTACATAATACAGCATGTGCAAATGCACAATAGTTACATGTACCAGTATCTGAATGTATTTCCTTTGCTTGTTGTGAATATAGGTTTCGATGGATCAGTTCAAGCCCTTCCGAAAAGCTTTCTTTGAAAGAGTTTGTGTTGAGCTATTTCCACAATGTGAGTATTACATGTTATATATTGGTGTAATATATAATTGTATTGATAAGGCACTTCAACAGATTCCCCTTAATTTACAATTGTTATACATGTACCTCTGTCTTGGATACTGTCTGTTTATTGGCCCAGAATGATCACATGACACGACGACATATCCACATGTCACACTCGCCGTGAGATATCTCATTCTATTGAAGGTGCGTGCACGTGCCCGTGTGAGTGCGCGAAACAAAAGAGCTTCTTGAAGTTCGAGAATGAGCATTTGCGGTCCTTTAGTCAGTTTTGCTTGGTATGTTTTGTGCAAAGGCTACCAGGGAAATTATTCAATGATTGTGCTCGTATAACAGACTTGTTCCCGTCCCTGCAATGTACATGTATAAGGTAATTCGGGGACTGCTAACCAGACTATATAAATGTACTCACTGGTGCCCGCACTAGTTTCTTATTAGCGTTTATGTCACAATTAACGAATGGGAGGGGACAGTGCATTTTCAAATGATATCGTTCACTGTACAGTTTTGCCGTAAACCCATCATCTTCTGAAATTGTTCAGCTAGTTTCTTTGGAAAAATTCCTGAAGACAGAGGTATGACAAAACAATTGTTGACCGCTGTGGTGTGGAATATCAACATCATCCCACACCACAGTGGTCAACAATTGTGAAATGAAAAATGCAGTTTTCTAGTATGTATATGTGTACAATGAGACCTGCTCCCACGAAACCCGGACAAAGTCGCACTCACCGATTTCCCACAATGGGCCTGTGAAGTCATTTTGGGCTAGATTTCACCATTATGGTGTTTGGGTGTTTTCTGAAGAAACAGCTATTACTCTTTAATCTCTCCAATTTTGGACTCTATCTTTCACACAGATTTTTCGATTTTGTGAAACAATCGTGTACAGAATTGTAAAGAAAAAAATTACTCTGACGATTGTTTTAGCATGATTGAATTGCAAAATAAGGCCTGAAAAGACTTGTAATGTAGCACCATTTCTGACTCCCCCTGATTGAATTTGGTATCACCATAAAGGTTATAACCTCAGCATTTCGGTTTGAGAGTAGAAACTTGCAAGCTTGTCTTTTTTAACCAATACGAGATAGTTTTAGTTGACTGTTTTCATGTAAACAACCTTTCCCTTGTTGCCAGTGTTTGCTAAAATGAGTATTGCTTTTCGTCAATTTGCACCACTTGATGCACTAAGCTGAGCACTTCAGGTCAACTCTCTGTTGACGTGGACGGGGTGTGTGTATCTGACTGTGCATGGATAGTGATTCCGAGTGTATTTTTGTCAACGTTTGACACAGTTTATGGAGGTATTAATTAATTTTCCCTGAACGATTCTTATAAATAGTTGTTGTAAAATCAAATACTTAGCTTGTGACTTTCATAGCTAAAGCAGATGAGAGCGGAACAAGGCAAAGTATGGAGGCAGAATCGTCGATTTTGCAAGCAGCTCTGAACGAGTTGTTCGTGCTTGGTTTGTCCAAGCATGATAGTGAGAACTTGTCGAATCTTCTGACAGAATGTTTTGGGAATGGCGACCTTTCTTCCGATGATGAAGGGGACGAATCATCTGGAGATGAATTAGATGACAAAGAGCCGATGGAGGTAGATGACACGACGGACTTTGATCATGAGGACAACATGGATGATGACCCTGAGGGTGGTGACAAAATTGAATGGCCAATTTTCCCTGACCTCGCTAGAGACATTGTGGACATTGAAGAAACTGACGATTGGACTTCTCAAGACAGTGATGAAGAACTGCGCAAGATTCTTGCATTTAAGAACATTTAAGAAACAAAGGTACCGTACATGTAGACATGATCCCTGCACAAACCAGTTCGAACCATTGTACATTCTGAAGCTGCGAGCCCAGATGGAAGATGCAGGACTGACCAGCCGTGAGCGGAAAATGTACATCATGGGGAAGATCAGTTCAACTCTACATTCCGACAAGCTGACTTGGTGCACGAAGCGAAAGAGACAAATGAACAGAACACGAACCTGTGTAACATACTACACAGTTGATGGCAAGAAGATATGCCGTAAATCCTTCATCTTCATGCACAAGTAAGTCATTGGTGGTGCAAGCTCTAGCTCACCCCATCCAAAAGGTCGCCCCCAACCAAACTCGCCCTTGAAAATAATCTCGCCCCTTAAATATTGTAATTGTGTCAGTGTACTTGACATGTGCTTTCTTTAGTTGTGTGAATTTTCAAATTAATAAGCTGATCAGCCTTTTATTTATTGTCAGATTTTAACGATTTCAATTCACAAAATATGAAACGCAGCATCTCAGCAAAAACCGCCAAATACAAACATGCTGGTGCTGGGGTGACTTTGTCAGCGAGCGAGATGCTACTACCCAGAAAGAGCTTGTGTGGGGGTGACATTGTTATGCAAGGGGCATTACTAAGGGGCAAAATGACCGGCTTTCATCAAAATAATATCTGTAGTACATGTCAAGCGTGTTGTTAGGGAAGTTGTTTGTTTATTTTTTATATTTAAAAAAATCAATGCGATAAGATTAAAAAAAAAAAACAGTTTTAGAATTATAAATGGTTGCCTGAATGCCACGAAGGCACTACATGTCTACATAAGTTGCATTCAATCATGCATCTGCTGGACTTTACATAACATCGCATACCAGTCATTTGCATAAACTCATAGAGATTGTGTAATTGTCGAGTATTAAAAAGGTAAATACTTTGATTTTGAACTATTTTGTTCCTTGAACTAAGTTGTTCTTTATTGTTTCCTATTCAGCATTTGCAACGACCAGCTTTCTGGTATCTTAAAACATTATGAAAAGCATGGTGTGACCCCCCACCCAAAGCATCTGGAGGGAGATGTTACAACAAGAACTCGTCGACAGAGAAGTACATCCGTCGCATTGTAACTTTCATTGTGAATTATGCGGAGGTTAAAGGAATGGTGATTTCTGTACGAGTCAGAGGAGTTAAGTGTTCGGACCCGAGGGTGAGACTTTCGCCCTCCAATGACAGCAAGTCTTCGATCTGGAGAGAGTATGTGGCACAGATGAAAATAACGAATGACTCCAGGTGCAATGCAGGTACATAATCTTCACATTAACCCTAACTGCCCAAAACCTGCCATACTCCAACAGCAGGTTTTGTGAGGTTTTGTTAGGTTTGTTACTGTACATGTACCTGAGGAACTTGTTGTTGAATTTTGTGAGACTTGGGATGAAAGGCCCAGGGAGATGGTGTTGGATTCTGTGTGAGTTGGGACACACACGGGTCATTTTGTGCAGTGTCTGGCTTGCTGTACCAATTGTTGGACTATGCTTGATTTTGTCAGGTTTGGTACTGTTCAGTACAAGTCATCCTATACTGCATAGACCCATCCATACCATATCATTCAAACTCCAATGGGCTCATTCTGTTGGAGTTTATCAGGTTTGGTACAGTAACCTGCATGTACAAGTACATAGACAAGTACATTAACATGTTGGATTTTGTGAGGTTCAGTATGCTTTCTAGTGCAGGAGCCTGGGGGTTAGGGTTAAAAATGTAAATACGAAGTTACTTAACAACACATTTTGAGTTTTGGTGGCCTCGGTGGTGCATCTCATGTAGTTATTTTTACTGTACTTTATCTGTAGAGAGTTGGAACCATAATTATCACTAAGTCTTTCTTTAAAGATACAAAGTTTTCCCCATTTCTATTCTCTAAAGAAGACTGCTAAGGTGGAAACAAAGAACCATTGCAAAACAACTATAAAATGATGTGTACAGGTAAACTTTATTTTTCACATCAAATTTGTAATAAATATTTTCATGTGTGCTTTTGAATGTTTTCTTTCAGAAGGCCTTCATGAATACTGGGTCACCAAGCAGTCAACTTTTGGGAAGCTGTGAAAGTGCTATACCCCATTCAACTTGACGATGCGACCTATGAGCGACCTGTGTTGGCAGTGCCAACAGAGAACAATAGCGCCGTGTACAGGAGTGCCAACCTGTCCGAGGACCACAAGCTGCTTTGAGTTTAAAAGCAAGAAAAACACCTTTGCCTCGTGGCTGCTGAGTGTCACTTGCGTAGATCCACGGTGAAAGATGCGAATGCTTCCATTGAAGGAGTAGTACTTGGACGTAACCTCCTTGGCAGCTGTGATGGACCAATTCACTACTCCTTCCACTTGGCACAACAAGTACACTTTCCAAGTGACCCCCTTCAACCAGGACCCAAGTATTACTTGTGCTCCAGAAAATGTGGACTTTTTTGAGAGGCATGTGAAGCTGTACCGCAGCAAATCAATTATCTTATAGATGAAGGGATGGCTTGTGGGAAAGGATCAAATGCAGTGATCAGTTATCTTCGTGATTTCTTTGCAAACTTTGGTCTCGGTGAATCCGATGTTCACCTGCATTGTAATAATTGTTTGGGACAGGACAAAAACAAATACATGTTATGGTACCTTGCGTTGTGCACAAGAACTTGACTTCGATTTTTATGATCGCAGGCCACACCACATGGTGCTTCGGGCAGGTTAAACAACGATACCGGTGTTCAATGGTGAGCTGCCTTGAAGACATCCTTAAGGTTGTAGCGAAGAGTTCGGTATCAGGCGTCACCGTCCCAAGGATCGTTGGCACAAAGGCAGGAGATGTGAATATTCCCACATTGAACTGGCAAGAATTCCTGGGGCCATATTTCATTGCTCTTCCAGGGATCAAGTCCATACAGCACATGCAGTTCAGTGATCAGCATCTGGGTACTGTGTATGCAAAGTCTTCCTGTGACAGCGAAGAAAAATGCTTTCCAACTTCTCTGTGATGTGATGCATCGACTTTGCCACCGAGAAAAATGCCACTTCCCATGTCCCTACCGGGATTGCCAGATGTTTGTAAGCAATATTTGCATAAAAACATCAGGGAGTTTTGTACAACAGCGACCCGCGACGTCATGTGTCCAGCTCCTGAAGTTGTAGAGTGAACAATGATGACTGCCACACTAGAGGGCCTTGTTTGGAGT